AACAATTGTTCCTAAATAAGCTTTTACATGAAATTATATTGTCATCTCATCAATGTAAAATATTGGCTTTATATCAATTGATTTCAGATAATTTCTGGGAAAGGTTTAATTACAATAAATTTATACCGTTTTATTTCACATTTCTTTTCGATAAAAAACTAATTACGCAAATTTATTCAGCATAAAATCCGGAAATATTTGGGATAAAAAATAATTCCAAGCGATATTATTGCGCTGTATTATATCCCTTACGTTGAATTTAACGCAATGCTATTTTAAAGCTCTTCTTACTTGCATGACGTTACACAAAATATGGAAATGTCGAATTTATGTGATAAGTTATTTCCGAGCGCTGGCGGTGTTGTTTTTAAATTTAGATGTCTACGCTCTTGGTTTTAAGAACCAGGTCTGCGTATTGCGTCTAAATATTAGATTATTAATATAAGCGAACTCAATTAACATATGCAAATACCACGCATGTGATTCTTCTTTCGACGTAATTGAAGAATATATTATGAATGCAATTAGAGGAGCCTCGGGAACAAGTAAGTTAATATTACACTAGGTAAACAACGATATGGTTTACGTAATACTCTCGAATAAATTAAATGTGACGCATCAATAATCGAATCCCTTGAATTTCCCACCAGATGCCTACCTCCCGTCTATGTGCCAGCGTTCACATACACTTTCGCAATTTGATTGCGCTATTATTATACGCTATTATTATACCGAAATAACTCACCTATCTAATTAACTATAGAAGAGGAGGGCAAAGCAGGGCACCAAGTGTTTGTCGTTTTTCTCGCGAATTTTTGACTTCTTTCCCAAACTTCACACCGGCTGCTTGTCGCAGATGGCATTCTGAGAGCCGGTACTTTTTTCACACAGGCGTGTGTTCCGAACACGATCGCGGAAATAGCGGACAACCGGTGACCGGCGATCATGATCACGCCCGGAACGCCGTCGCGACCGTAAAACTCGACAACTACGTGTCCGCCCGGGAACGAAGCGGCGACGGAAAAAACGGTCGGAGAAGTGGAAGGGTGAGAAAGCGACGAGAGAACATGACTACGTACAAACATGGAACACACGAACGTGGAACGACCCATAGCGCTACGGTCGTTTCGCTCGCGCGCGCCATCAGGACCAGGAACTCCGCTCCTCTGGTTTCTCAGTGTTCCTCGAGTCACGCGCGAGCGTGTGTGTCAGCACACGATAAAGCCGCATATGTGTGTGTGCGTGTCGCTGTGCAGCCGCTATGGACGTGTACTACGACGCGCGCCGTTGTTCAGTTCGTGTGTCTTCGGCAGTGTGTATGCGTAATGTAATACGGTGGCTGGAGCATCACATGGCTATTTAGAGGAGCTTCAAGATAACCGAGAAAGAAAGAGATAGAGAGATGGCTTGCTGAGAGCAGGGATGCAACGGTGCGGTTGGAAGAGGTAAGGACTCGAGGGGATGTAAGAAAGACCGGCACGAGAAGACGCTCAAGTCGATATATCCCTTTCTCTCTCCTTCTTTCGCGCCCGTTCGTTCTTCGACTTTTTCTCCTCCTCTTTTTTCCTTTCCGCCGGATCTACCCCGTATCCACCCCGTATCCACCCTGCGCGAATCATCCCTCGCACCAACCATGCCGCTTCCTCCCGTTTTTCTTTGTTCGCGTGGGCGACAGTGATATTCCGCGGGAATCCGCAGATGCAGCTCGGTCGCGTCCCGCACGGCCCATTCTCGAATCTGCAGACTCGGTTTGCGAAAAGCCAGACCATTGACACCGGTGTGCGGTGCGCACGTTGAGGTCGTGAGCATTGTTGTGCAGCAACGAACTAATAAAGAAAAATAGAGGCTCCTCCTGCGCGGATATTAGTTGCTCTCTGTGTTCGCGAGACCACAGAGGAATGGGCGGCGCAGAGGAAGGAACGGAGCCGTCGATGCGGGTGAAAGTGAAAAGGACGACGATGCCGCGATGGGACTCTTTATTTACGCCGCGCGTTTCCCCGATGTTGATACCGACCGAGTTCGCCGGGATTTTATTTGAAAATCCCTGCGTCGCGATGAAGAGCGATTTTCATCTATCCACCGCTGATAGATACAAATGAAAACGCGCGCTCGCACAACGTGAAGTGAGGATATAACGTTTAATATATGAACATATGAAATATCATCGTTTATTTGATCAACATGATGCTACAGCGAGTAATCGATTATCCGGCAGTTTCTGTGACGCAAATTAGCTAGCCCGTGTCCAATTAAAACAAAGAGGGAAAAGAAGGAAAGAGCTGAAGCGAATTAACGCGAAAACGGCATGGAAAAAATCACCACCCTCAATAATTATGCAGAATCAGTATTTCTCGTAATAAGAAATATCTAATGAAGAAATGCAAGAGCGCTTTCCGGATATTAGCTCGCCGGTATAAAAGGCGATGGAAATAAAGAGGACGATGAGAAGTGACGCTGCGACGGGCGCTTTTATTCGCTCCGTAGATTCTTAAGATTCCTCACGGTGCACCGGCTGTCGTTTCGTACGAGCTCTCTCGCTGCGTATCGTAGCCATATTTTATCTATAGTTGAGAGAAGAATGATCCAGTAAGGATGAAGCGTTCCCCATGGAAAGTCATGTGCACGCGCCTCTAATATCCCGCGCCTGATTTTCCGTGCCGCTTGGGGATAATAACGTAATCGATTGCGCTCAAGACAACGCGTTAGAATCTTTGGTTTATCCCCGCACCGCGCATTTGGGGCTAAATGCAGCTGGCCAAATCTCATTTCATGTTTACACTGGATGCATTCAGCGGAGACAACAGTTTAGTAGCAATTGAATGCGGTCGGTATATATACCAGAGATATTCAGCGAATCGAGTTCCATTGCTACTCAAGTGCTACTCGATTGTCGTCTCCGCTGAATGCGTCCATTGACTGCGATATTCATACGGGGCGACATTGAAAACTATTGTGGTACACTCGTATCAATCGACTGCTATTGTAAGTAGCAAGCGCATTTGTACCGAGATTGACACAAAAGAATTACGAGCGCGCGCGCGCGCGCGCGCGCGCCTGAGTTAAGGGAATGAAAAGATTTCACGGAAATTCATTTGCGTGACACTGTAATTTACAATGTCGCATATTCGCGCGGGAGCATTACGGCATTTTACATGTCGCATTTTTATCGTGACAAGACGTATGCACGGTTTTCACATGTTTACATGCATACTTCATACCGTCTTTGCGGAGCACTCGTATCCTTTTAGGTTGCATTATATCTATGCATCTTATCGTGAACGCGCCGAACGGTGAAGGAAACAACTTGTTCCTTTGCGCCCTTTATCTCGCTCTCATTCCCACTCGCCGCGTACTTACTTCCCTCTTGCTTAATTCGCATAGACAGTGCCAGAACATTCTGAGAATTCGTAAGCGCGGCCTTGTCGGCCTCGTTCCGTCGGATTCGCTTGAGAAAACCAGATCCGAGGAAGCGTTAATGTTGCTCAAGCTGATAGAGGAAAATAAAAGTCGGATATCAGCTCGCTTTTTCGAACAGGCGAATTGTTCACCTCAAACACAATGGCGAAACTTCTCATTCGCGCAATATACGATTTCCAAAAATGTGCGCTGAACGCGAATTTTGTCTCGTAAGATTGTGCTGGATTTTTCGCCATTCGCTGGAGAAGCTGAACGGATCGAAGACACGCTCCACGCGAATAAAAGGTCTCCGCCCTAAGCCACTCGTGTTTTTATTACGAGAGCAAGCAAGGGAATCTTGAATCTATAAATATTAACATAATTTGATTTTGCAGACGAAGATTGAATATACGAGTGTAGCAAAATATTATTGCGATGTATAAGATAAATATTCCAGTGACCGTACATATCTCAATTTCCAACCACATTTTGACAGAACAGTTTTTATTTAATAGTTATAAATATGCGATAAAGTTTGTATGTACAAAACATTAAAAATTGTTGTGTAATATTTATTTACATAATAATTAATAGAATAAGTTGAACTGAGAAATAGCATTTTTATTAATTTTAAAAACACGTTTCTTATTAAAAAAATATGTTTTGCGCGTATTTTATATAGTAAATACGGAAGTATGTGTCCGCACTTTTTTCAAATATTTAATCGACCAATTAATAAACGTAATTTTTATTTTATTACAGTTAAATAAACTTTAATCTTTACTATATATGCGAAAAGAGATGAAGAAATTATTATTATTTAGGAGAACAGATTATATCTTGAATATTGATTAACTCTTAAATATCCGATTGGAACATTTACCTTATGTAAGATGATTCCGTGAGCAAGTCATGACGAAACTGAACCCGAGGCACATTAAAATCGTGCAAGACGATGTTTTAACACGCGAACATCCCTACCGTACGTTTTATCGCCATGGTCGGGTCTAATTTCCGAACGTGCCCGAGAGGTCAATGGGGCTACTTATTCCCGGGGCCGATACAAGAATTACTGGCGTATCGATCCCTGAATTTCTATCGTGCCGAGAACGATCTATCTCCCCTTTCGTGACGTAGCCGCGGGCACATCCATCTCGGTATCGGGTTATAACTGACCGAAAGCAGGATTAGCGGAGCACATTTTCGTATCGATATTATATGGCGTAAAAGGGCGACTCTCCCTAATTGCGTCGGGCTGTTGTTTGGCAATGAGCACGCATTGATTCGCGCCGGGTGCGTCGTTTCTCATGATTTTTTGCGTAGGATAAGACGGGCTAAGCCGACGTAGTCGAAGAAGCGTGAAGGAGAAACCGATATTAGCCCGGCGCTTGTTTACACAGGCTATTTCGGCTTATTTAGGGACAATCACCGTGCTTTATTAAGACGGGGAGTAGTACTTACCTCGCGGATAGAATTTCTGATGCGTACACACAAGCAGGCGTATATGTTTCGAGGCTGGTATTTCGGATCAATGTTGTCCTTAGATTTTTCATCTAAATGATATTGCATTTTCTAACGGCTATGGTAATTTTTTTTTGCTGCAGATTTGAAGATGAATTGGCCACTGGTGCTGACTTGCTTCCTGCTACCGCAGTCGTGCATTCTGGGCGCATCGCGTGGTAAGTCATTTTTATTGAAAAATCTCTACTAATGACTAAATCGATTGTCACAGATTTTATATATAGTTATTATATAATATTAAGGATACAATAATAGAATATCTTTTTGTCTCTAATGATATATTAAGTTAAATTAAGTTTGCCATGTCCACTCAAACGACACGGACCTCCAATATCATTTTTAGCAAACTGACTCGTTACACCGAATAGTTTTGGTTCTTAGTTTTTTAAAATAAGAAAGTTTACACGAAAACACAACATGACGGTACTGCTATGCATTGAGAATAATTGCAATCAACCACAATTCAAATCTTAAAAAGGACATCGTGTATGTTTAATGTAAAACATGATTTCCTTCCTGATGATCTTAAGATTGGTGTTATTAGAAGAGGCATGACTTTCAAGATGTGTTGTCCTTCTAAACAATTTTTAAATGTAACGAAT